GGGGGGATGGGGAGTTAATGTTTAATGGGGACAGAGTTTCAGTTTTGCAAGATGAAAAGAGTTCCGGAGATGGATGGTGGTGACGGTTGCACAACAGTGTGAACATACTTAATGCCACTGAACTGTACACTTAAAATGGTTAAAATGGTAAACTTTACATTATGTGTATTTTATAATTTTAAAGATAATAAAAATAATTTTAATGGGCTAAATCCCATTGATAAATACTCTAAATGAAGTTTGACCAAAACACAACATATAGTGCAACTACTACTTCCTTTTTCCTATCTCCAATAATTACATTAATACAACTTTTTTAAAGAGCAGTATTTCTCAAAGTGGAGTCTGGAGAAACCTTGCAGAGCCCTGAGGCCCTTTCAGGGCACATAATAGAAGATGCACAAAATATTCGCTAGATGGAATAATGAATATTAATTCTTCACAAGTGACACTAGTCAAAACATCTCTGACCTTTAAACATACTTGCAATGCTCAATCCCTCTCTCACACATTACAGGGCACATTCGCTTTGCAGCAGGTAGGAGTCTTCTTACAAATATTCAATCAAAGGATGAAAAAGGGAGAAAGGAGAAAAGGGATGGAGAAGAAACAAGTGGGCACGAAACCCCGCGCCCTCCCTCACCCTCTGTACTCTCCACATGAAACACCCGTGGGCCAGGCCGTTGAGGGCCTACTGTAACCTGCACACAGGGCTGGGGGCTGGAGCAGGGGAGAGGGGAGAAGGGAGAAGGGTGAGAAGTGACTAAGGTACATGGGACATTTGAGGTGACGGAAGAGACGTGTGGGGCGGGGTCCTTTGCGAGAGGAGCTCTTCGAACACAGAGGGCAGTGGGAATGGGTTGGACTCTTGCGGGGGGGGGGCAAACAGAGCCAGAGATTGAAAACTGGTCAGATAAGAGGTGAGAGGGACCCAAACACCAGCTTCCTAATTTAGTGTGGGACTCCGTTCCCTCCTCAACTCCCAAAGGCCAAGGAGCTGCCACTCAAGAACCAAGAACCACCACTTTGTTCCCGCCGCCCCCCCTCCCCCCAGCAGATACTTCTCCCGTGTGAGCTGGACCTGGTGAAGCAAACACCTGGGAAGGGCGACAGGCAGAACACCACACCCTAGACTGGGCTCCAATTTCTAGTCCCGCTGGGAGAATTTTCACAGGGCCATCTGTGATGGGGTGACAAACTACAACGGTTCTCTACTACTGCTGACATCAACGAAAACTTGGGGCTACTTCACAGGCTTTGCACAAGGGTACCTACCTCTTTCCAGTCCTACTCACAGATCTCATTCCAAATATGTGAGTTTCTCAGAGTCCCCACTCTTCACTCTCACTGTCCCCTCCACTGTTCTTTTTTTCCCTTTACCCATCTGTTATGGGTTGAATTGTGTCTCCCCAAAGTCCTGACCCCTAGTAGCTCAGAATGTAATGGTACTGGAGATAGGGTCTTTAAAGAGGTGATTAAAATAGGTCTTTAGGGTGGACCCTAGCCCACCAAGACAGGTGTCCTTACAAGAAGAGGAAATTTGGACACAGAGACACACACACAGAGGATATACCATGTGAGGACACATGGAGAAAAGGGCTGTCTACAAACAAAGGAGAGAGGCTTCAGAAAAAAACAACTGTGTAGACACCTTGATCTTGGACTTCCAGCCTCTGGAACTCAGAGATAATAAATTTTGTTGTTTAAGCCGCCCAGTCCATGGTACTTTGCTACGGCAGCCCTGACTAATATGCCATCTAATTATATCCATCCTTCAAGATCAAGACTGCTTCAAACTAATTAATTTGGACTCAATTCAAGCTGAAGGAAGCTGGCTCTTCCCACATTCTGGGGTCTTCCCACACTTTGGGCCGTGGCTCAGAAGGGCCCTGGCTTTCGTGGAGGGTGATACATCGCGCATCTTTTCATGATATTGCTGGAGGCTTCTGGTGTCTTACTGAATGAGTCAGGTTAGTGCTCGAATCAAAAACTTCCTCTTTCAAGGCACCATCTTATCAACCAAAGTTGTTCTTAGAGAAAAGTTACTGGCCGAATCAAAACTGGGGTGGTTGTGACCGTCACTAGAAATGGTAACACCTTTGAGCATCAGAGGGGCAAGAGCTGGGTGAGATGTGGGGAAACGCTCTTGGAGTGCTTTATTAATTAATTTGATCCACTCTACTCTCTTTAGAGTGTTAAGGAAACTTCTTTTATCCTTCCTAGAATTACCTGGGTGTAGCCGGACATTGGGATCCAGATTCCACAAATGAATGAGCAGCAGGTACCCCCAAAGCTCAGGTCAGCTGCAGGGGGGAGGAGGGCAGGCCAGATGACACTGACTCACAATGCTGCTATCACACATATCACTGGAGCTCCAAGGGGCATCTTGGGTTTTGCGGCACATGGGGTGACACCAAGCAATCCCTCCACATCTCCCAAACCACACTAGGGGCCAGTGCAGGGCTTTTAGGCTCTACTGCTCCCTGTAATCACAAACCCTACTCCTCAAGAAGCTGAGATACCAGGTCCCTGGCAAGAGGCCAGGAACTGTCACCAACAAGAAGTGGGTTCCACCACTTTCTCAGTCAGAAAATTAAGAGGAGACAGCTCCAAACTAGTGCTCAGCAGACCCTAGTGTGTCATCACCTCCGTTCTCATTCCCCTCACCACCCCAAATACACTCACACAGAAATGTGTCAGCACCTGGAAAGGACCAGCGGAGTTCCAGAGTCAGTTTCACCTAAGCCCATTTGTAAAATCATTGTTGACTAATGCCACAGAAAATTAAAGGGGACAGAGAGACATCAGGCCAATGTGGAGAAGGAGAGAGAAATGAGTAAGAAGAATATCTTGCTGGGATCATTGCTTTCAGGGCGCCAAACTTACCGGTTCTTGGAAATAGAGCTGGTAATCAAAAACAGGATTGGCTTTGATGATCTCCATTAGGGTCACGTTGGGGTTAGATGGCATGAAGGGAGTATTCAAACTTGCCACTGCCCTATGGAAAGAAGAGGCACCAGGACATAGACCCTGTAAGAAGACAGTCTGCAAGGACCAGAAAGGACCTTACATGTCAAACCAAAGCTCAAAGTGGGAAAGTGATGTGCACAAGCTCTCACCCCAGCTGTGTGTGGGAGAAAGGGATCAGCACTCAGATTTCTTGACTCCCAGTCCAGTGTTTCCCCCCATTAAACTGCAGTATTTCTCACTTGCCTTACATAAAGACAGACCATACACACACTCACACAAAGGCGCGCACACACTCTACCTACAGTATATCAACCTTGATCAGAATATGTGGACACTACAATCTCTCCCTTGTGCTTGGCATTCATTTTTTCCTTCCTTCACTCACTATGTCTCTCCTGTGTTGAGTGTGATTCCATGCTGTATACATACTAGGGGAGAGAAAATATAAAATCAATACTCAAGGAGCTAATTATAATGTAATAAGGAAAGCTAAACAAATACACCCATGACTTTATTATGAGATAAACTGTGATATAAGCATAAGAACAGCACAGAATACCATGGGTGTTCAGGGGGATGAAACATTTCTGGATTTGGGCGTCATGGAAGACCTGATGAAATTCTGAACTTGGCCTCTAATCCAGTCGGTAGAGTAACCTTTTGGTGAATCCTGTTGTTAAGAACTAAGCTCTTATTTTGCCTTTGAATGAAGGAGAGGACAGAGAGAGAAGCTAAAAAAATCAGAAAAAGAGTGTGAAAAATTTTAAAATATTTTGGAAAATGTTTAATTCTTCTTAGTCTTTGATACCATTCTTCCATTTGAGCTGGGGTTGAGCTGAACCTAGTTCTCCAGTGTTTCTGTTCTTATAAACTTAGCCAGATAAAAAGTAACTGGATCAGTTAGGAAAATCCAGATGGCTGGTGAGGATAATGCTTACTTAACTTGCTAAGATCCCGGGCTGAAATGGGAGGTCAGAGTTTTAATTTTGGTTGCCAACTCAAATACAGTGTGGCTGCCAAAAACATCTGACTCTCTGGGTTCAAAACCCCCCATCTGAAAGCTCCTGCTGGTTCTCCGAAATACCATTCTAAGGACAGTCATGAATGAAGAGACGATGACCATGAAATACCTTTCTAACCTATATCTGTGCAGCATTTTGCGGGTTATGTAGTCAGGTGGGAGTCAGAATTACCACTTGGTGGCTGAGGAAACCAAGGCCCAATGGGTGATTTGTCACATAGCCAGTTCAGGGCAAAATTGGAAGCCACATTTTCTGACTCCCCATCTAGGACTAAAGTGTTTCCTGGTGCTTAATTCTATAAACCCAGCTACCCTCCTGCCTCTCCCACTCCCCTCTCCAGGCCTACCATCATTCTCCTGCATGCCCATTGAATACTCTGTCTCTGAATTATTTGTCCCACTACCAGTAACTGGGACAGGCCTCACTTTCTAAGACATTGGCTCATCAAGCCCTCCTTGTTTATGTGTCAATGGGTACTAAGGAGCTAAGGTGGTACCTTCCCAGTAACCTATTGTTTTTGAGAAATTTTCTGGGATTTAGACCTAAGGAAGGATTCTAATGGGAATTCAGTCCATCTTACCCAAATCTCATTGCTCATGGCTTAATTACCTCACTCTCTCAGGGTAGAAGAGAGCCATGTTCCACACCAGCATGCCACCCCAGTCATGGCCAATGAACACCGCTTGAGGGATGCCCTAGCAAAGGATAAAGAAGGGGGGTGAATGTAGGTAGGTTTCTGGGGTGAGGTGCTGAGAGCCCAAGGTCTTTAGTTCTCCTTAGGCCCAACCCTCAGATGTAATTCTTTCATTCACTTCCTAGGGACTACCCCGCTGATCATGCAGTGTAAGGTCATTATAGCATCAGGACTGCGGTGGCCACACTGGGCCGTGTCCTCTTAGACGTCCGGAGCATACTCAAAGGTTCCAATGCCAATTCCATGGGACTGAGACTCTGTAGAGGACAGGGACCATGACATTTTCGCCTCATTTACTAGTTAGTGCCTGGCACCATGCCTTCACAGCACATTTTTCCCTTGACTCTCACATCCACCTAACAAGTGATAAATCCCACTGCTTTGAGGCTGTCTCTTAGAGATCCCTCTACTGTTTTCATTCCACCCCACGACCTAACTGAGGATGGAAGGAGGGTGTTACTGAGTTGTAATCTCAGGGAGAGTATGTGTGTTCTGCAAAAGAGTATTCATAGGTCACCATTGTTGATTTGAATTTCAAATTCCAAACAATGTTAAATTAAGACACTCAATTTTAGATATTTCAAAAGAAATGTAAGTTTTAAAAAGCTGTGAAACATTAGCTTATAAGATATTTTCCAAACTTCTTGACTCAAGCCCACAGAGGTATCCTGTTCCCTGGGAGATGCTTTTCATGAAACAAAAACCAAAACAAGCTCATCTCTTACACTGCTCTCCAAACTCTTTGCCATCTCTGTCTTTGCAATTCCTTCCGCTAACCCATCCCACCTCCCACTGTCCCAAAGTGTGCCTTTCCTAGCCCTTGCTACTCCCCTAAACGGCTCCAACAGCTGATACCTTAAAAGACTTGCATCTTGTCTCCAACTGCCCAGACCCAAACAGGATTCTCCAAAGAGATCAGTTCAAAAGTATTACTTACCAACTTATCCAGGAAGGTTACCATGTCCTAAGAAAGAAAATATACCAAAAAGTCAGAAATTGTATCCACCCACCTCAGCTGCTTCAAGATTAGAATTACTGTGTCTGCCTTTGTTATGAACTTAATTTTGTCTCCCTAAAATTCATAGGTTGAAGCCCTAGCCCTCGGTACCTCTGAATGTGACTGCATTTGAAGATGGGATCATTAAAAATGTGAAAGTTAAAATGAGGTCACTAGGGTGGTTCCTAATCCAATGACTGGTGTCCTTATAAGAAGAGATTTGGGCACAGACACATACAGAGGAAAAACCATGTGAAGACACAGGGAGAAGATGGCCATCTTCAAGCTTCATCTAGAAGCCTCAGATGAAGTCTCAGATAAAACCACGCTGTCACCTTGATCTCAGACTTCTAGCCTCCAGAATGGCAGGAGAATAAATTTATGTTGCTTTAGCTACTCAGTCTGTGGTACTTTGTTATGGCAGTCGGAGCAAACTACCACAGTGTTCAATCATTTCACTAGCTTTTAGGTTATCTTGCTTCCCTTTCCAGCATCCTCTCAGAAGTGGCAGAGTGGGAGAGGTAAAACTTGGGAACCGAGGAAGGAAAAACCACCCTAACTGGAAACTAAGCTTCTACCCACACTCCCCTATGAGATGCAAAGGCTGCATGTAAGGCTGATAGGGGGAGCTCCAGACAGAGTGGTGACTCTGAGATGGGGGCTTTTTGGAACTTTAATGCAATCAGCAGTATTGCCAGTTTTCTGTTTCTTCCCCTAGACACCTCCAGCCTTTGCTTTCATTCTAAGGAGGTTTGGGTCACAGACTCTCCCCACCTTTGCCCCATCCTCCCCCTGCAAGCTCTGAGATGAGGGTTCCCTCTCTTCTATGGTGTTTATGCCTATCTTAGAATAGGAAAGCCATTATAGTCACCAATCCATACAATAATCCTTAGGTCTGGCCACCGACATCTTTACCAAAATATAGTGATTTTTAAGATTCCCAGGAAGGAAAGACAATATGGTGGAGTGGCTAAGAGGAGCGGTGTGTGAGCTATTGTAGGGTTCAAACCTGGCTCTATTAGCTGTTGACCTCAGACAATTACTTTACCTCCCTGGGACTCAGTTTCCTCTCCCATCAAATGCTTACAGCAGTACTGACATACAGCAAATGTTGGCTATCATTTTGAAATGTCATCTCAACTTTCAGCAAGAATTTATACTAATTTCTGTGAAATGATGCTTTCCTAGGATTTAAGTGAGTACCCACACTTCTGTCTTATATCAGTAAAAATTCCAGGATGGAAAAGATATTATAGGTGTTACCCAAAGATCCTTCTTACCTTGCATAACACTTCCATGGAATATTCTTCTATTTCTGCAATTAAAAATGAAAGAAATACATTTAATTCACATGATTAAAAATAACCAACAAACTAAAAGGGCTCTTTTGCAAAAAAAAAAATCTTATTAAATTCTTAGATTGAAGTGGTCTACTTGTTTATTTTTGTCTTTGTTACCTGTGCTTTTGGTGTCACATCCATGAATTCATTACCAAGACCAATGTCATGAAGCTTTTCCCCTATGTTTTCTTCTAAAAGCTTTAGTTTTAAGTCTTTAACCCATTTTCAATTGACTTTTTTTTTTTTTGTAGGATAAGGTGTAAGATAAGGGTCCAATTTCATTCTTTTGTATGTGAATATCTAGTTTTCCCAACACTATTTGTTGGGCAAACTATCCTTTGTCAAAGATCAGTTGACCACATATGTATGGATTTATTTCTGGGCTCTATATTCTGTTCCATTGGTCTGTGTATCTGACTTTATACCAGTACCATACTGTTTTGATTACTGTAGCTTTGTAATGTACTTTGAAGTCAGGATGTGTGAGTCCTCCAGCTTTGTTTTTTTTTATTAATTTGACTATTGGTCTTTTGTGGAGCCACATGACTTATAGAATTGTGTTTTCTTTTTCTATAAAAAATGCTATTAGGATATTTGATAGAGATTGCATTGAATCTATACTGTTTTTAGTATGAATATTTTAACAATAATAGCAATTCCAGAAAGAAAAAAAGAACAGAAGAAAAATTACCAGAGAAATAATTCAACAAAATTTCCAAGAACTGAAAGATAAATGTATCCAGCAAAGTAGATGAGAAAATACCTGTATCATGGTACAATATCATAAAATTTTAGAATACAACAGATAAAGAAAAGATCCTAATGTGTCATGGGTAAGGAAGAAAAAAACAAATGGTCACATAGAAAGCTTATGGGTTACAGCGGCATGGGATTTCTCAGTAGCAACAGGGAAACTAGAAAGCAATGGGACAAAGGCTTCAAAATTTTAGGGAAAATAATTTGTTACTTAATACCTATTAAAAAATGGTAATGAAATTTATACACAAATGACCTGAACTGGTTGTGTGTGTATTCCAAATCATTATGCTTGGCTTTAGAATTCGGGTTATACAAAATCTTCAACAGTTAATGTGTAAATTAGTGTTTTCTTTTATAGTTAGGGTATGAACATAAGTGTCAGTCTCAGTTTATGTGTGTTATAGTGTCTCTCTCTCTTTTTTTTAAATATATCATTAATCGGCTGCCTCCTGCATGCCACTGGACTGAAGATCAAGCCTGCAACCCAGGCATGTGCCCTGACTGGGAATCGAACCACGATCTCTTGGATCCTAGGTCAACGTTCAACCGCTGAGCCACGCTCGGCCAGGCAATAGTGTCTCTTTTTACTTTTAATAGTATTCTAGTTTGAGTGACAAATTATATTATTAAATTATACCTAGGGGATTCAAGGAAATTGCAGTATAGATGAATAAAAAATAGGCATTTTAATAATTAAATTTTAAAAAGCCTTAGATGCCTTTCCTGGATGTTTGGACTGAAGGCTGCCCTTTTGTTTAAAATGCTTCTGCACTGCCCGCCGGCATGGCTCAGTAGTTGAGCGTTGACCTAAGAAACAGGAGGTCATGGTTCAATTCCCGGTCAGGGCAAATGCCCAGTAGGGTGTGTGTAGGAGGCAGCTGATCAATGACTCTCTCATCATTGATGTTTCTCTCTCTCTCTCTCCCATCCTCTCTCTGAAATCAATAAAAACATATTAAAAATAAATAAAAAGCTTCCGCATCATTCAGTGTTGTAAGCAGCTGCTGAAACACCACCATAATATTTAGGGGGTAATTATGGAGGCACACCCTGCTATGACAAGCTGCGTGGCCTGGTTGGTGGCCACCTGAGTGACCAAGAGCCTCAGTCCATGTCATTTGGCTTTAAACTCAACACAACAGGAGATACCCTTAGGACACAGGCTTTGGGCTTCTTCTATTCAGAGTGGGAGGAGCAGAGACATCTGGGACCCAAACTGTATAGACAGAGGGCACTCCAAGAGAGGGGAGGCACAAAGTCAGACTCCCTTGAAGGACTGCCTGTTCTGACCTGGGACCAGGGGAAGACGGTGTAGTTGGAGAGCTCAGTCAGAAGGCATGGCCAACAGAGGACAGCTATAAGCCAGCTAACCCACCAGCAGGAGCGGACGAGTCTCCATAGCCTTTCATATCCACAGCTAGTACCCGGAAACCTGCCTGGGCCAGAGCAGGGATCTAGAAAACAAAGAACTCAGGTACACTCCAGTGTAGTCATAAGTATTTGGCTGACACTCCCTCTTTGCTCCTCTATTCCTGTTCTTGTAAATGGCTCAAAGCAAAGTGCCACCTGACATTACTCGGTATCTTGGGGCTGCAACAAGCCCACCTGGATAGGGCTGCCATGGACCACAGGTGTTAGGCTGTGTGCACTGCATCTAATGCCTCATCTAAGCCAGCACCTTTCCTAACAAAGACCTTGCAGGTTTCTGTAATCATTACAAATACTTCTGGTAGGTGGCATAAAGCTTCTCGAAGAAGTCTGATTTTTTTAAATCTGCAAAGGTGGCATACAGATCAGCACAGCTCTGAGGTCTGGAGCCATCTCCAGCCCGAACATTTCTGCAGTATCATGGCCATACTTTGGAGACGATGCTCCACTGTAAGTTTTCAGCTTCTTAATGATATTTGGGCACACCATCTAGACTTTGTCCTTGCCTCATCCTGGCTGGGGCATACCTTCACCCAGTTTTCCTTACCTGGTACCTCCAAGAGAACCAGCTCTCAGGAAATCCATGGCAAAGGCACACGGCAGGGCCAGAGCCCAGCTCCACAAAATGCAGATGCACCCCTGGCTGTGGAAGAGAGAGGTGAGCAGGAAGTGACCCCTACGCCAGGATGGGGAGAACCAGGCCCCCCTTCTGCAGACTGTCTGGGCCATTTCAGTGTATTTCCAGATCTTGTATGGCCCAGATTTCTCAGCCTAAGACCCCAATGCTAGAAGTTGTCTGAAAAGGGGACAACTGGACAAACTGTGTAATAAAACAGGTGGCTTTCACTGTAACTTATATAAGAAGCTTGAAAAGATTATAATGTTGGGGGGGGATTCCAAAACCAAAACAACTTTGCCTCCTCCTTAAAAGGCTCTTATACTATAGGAGTTTCTGTTTTGTCATGTTTTCACTATTTAAAACTGGGGATCAATTTTGTGCAGAGCATAATATTCATACTAACATGCAGAATACCATGATTATTTTGTTAAAAGCTCTTTATCTCTTGAGTATGAAAATTTTTTTCAAGTTTGCTATACTTCTAGTTCTTTCTGGGCTACATGGGTGTGACAGACACTGCTAGGACTCAGTGTCTGTGTTCTTCTTTGCTCCCTAGCACATGCTGGCATTTTCCAGATCTCCCCAACTTCCTTGCAGTGGGTATGACCATGTGACTGAGTTCTGGCCAATGGCATAAGAGCAGGGGAAACGTGTGCTACACTGGGGCCTCCCCTGCTTGGTCCTCACTCTCTTTTGCTGTTTGCTCCTCAACGGACTGGGCTTTGAGGAAGGTGGAACCAGCAGAAGGAAGGAGCCTAGTTACTTGAATGACTGCATGAAGCAACCCGCCCACACTGCATGACAGCCACACTGCACTGTGCCTTACAAGAAACAGGCCTGGTAGTAAGCCACTGAAAGCTGGGTTGTTTGGGACAGTACTAAGCCTCCTCTGACTATTACAGTGGGGTCTAAACAAACCAATTAAAGCAATATATAGTCAAAATATAGTCTATTTCCCCCCAAATACATATCTCCAACTTTCTAAAGGAAATGGATGAGAAAGATAAGCTTCACATTATAGAAATTCACTCAGAACAATTCATTTTCCCCCCAGCTCACCTATTACTTTATATCATGCAGCGAGCTCCATCTATGAGGCTTGAAAACTCCTTCGCTCAGTAGCTATAGCCACACTGCTTTCTGGCCAGGACCATTTTTGAGTTCTCTGATGGATATGAGATTGGCTCACATATAGGCAATCCTCTTTGAGGAGTGCACTTTAATATGGAACATCCAGTATCCCATTATCAAGATGACATCTCCTCTTTTCACATTGGTTCAATAAAAGACGTAAGGTTGATTTTAAAGGATGGGGCTGACTGGAAGAATTTAGCTACTTTCTGTGGAATATTTTTTCATTCTCTAATGGTTGACTTTCACTCATATTGTAACCCTATTCCAGCACAGTAATAAATATATTTAATTAAGATATCCCAAGTTGTCTGTTGATAGTAATAGCTTTGGCTAAAACTCTGAAATGTTTTTACTAGGTCTCACACTGTTTTAACACAATGTGATTACCAAGCCTAACAAAACAATGATCTGATAGTGCACTTTGGGTTTGTGCCACTGATTATATGCAATTAGTTCTTTGTTTGATAATGGCATAGTTTTAGACTTAACATTTTGTATTACTTAACTACTCAATAAACCGAAATACTAGTTGGTTAGCTAGGTAGGCCCCTCAAGACCAAGAAGAAAATTTCGAATAAAACCAGAGCCCAGTGATCCAGGAGCTTTAAACTTCTCAGCAAAAGATGGGAATGACTTTTTCCTTCCTTTTTTGTTATTATAGCTGGAATAATAAAGCAGTGAGTGCCTAAGAAGTTTCAAGTTTTACTTTTATTTCTTCTTTGGATACTCTTTTCATCCAGATCACACTTGGGCTAAGGCTATGACTTGTTATGAAACCTCAAAGGCAAACATAACCTAAGTAAACTATACAGGCTGCCCTCACTTTGTATGGTACTGTGAAAACATAAACATGGCTATACCCTGAATTATCTTAATAACTGTTAACTTAAGAATGTCCAAACCTGTAGAAATCTTTATCTGAGCCAAATAGATGATAGGCCTGGAAGCACGATTGCAACAGACTGAAAAAAATGCTTCCCACTTGTAATAATTCTGTCCAGCTGCATCCCACACTTCTCCAAGCCAGTGCTCCAAAATAGACGCTTCAGTCATGATTCCCAACAAGCCATTTTGCTCAAGAAAACATTAGGCTGACCTTTCACAAACCCTTTTATGGGCTACAATCGTTATATCAGAATACATTCCATTGCCCTGACTGGGTAGTTCAGTTGGTTAGAGCATCGTCCTGATATACCAGTCAGGACACATACAAGAATCAACCAATGAATGCATAAATAAGTGGAACAACAAATCAATGTTTCTCTCCCTCCCTTCCTCTCTTTCAAATCAATAAATAAAAAATTAAAAAAAAATGTTCCACAAGACTGTGGAAGTTGGTAAAGAGAGGGAATTTAACTTTAAATTCCCTACTTCTTATACTGAAAAATGTTATAGTGCTGATGTCCAGTCAAATGATCCTCATCAGCCTCTGTTCTAAATGGATCCTAACTAAAGGCCTGTTCTGCTGCTTCATATTTGACTCAGCTGAGTAGCTCAGCAAATGCATGTGCTTTCCCATCCTTTAAATTATATGTTAACAAAATTTCCTTAAAACTGGAAAATGGGAAAGATCCATTACAACCCATTTGGTTTGCATCAGCATCCGGTGGAAATGCAATAGCACCCGCCAAGCCTGGGCTCAGCTGGGGTTGCCCAGAGGTCACTGCCCCAGCTCTTGAGTCTGGGGTGGTGGCACGGGGTGGTAAAGCAGCTCTGAACACCCTTCCTCAAGGTGAAATGAGGAATCTGTCAAAACTAGCAGGATAGACATCAAGTGGATGACAAGAGCAACCCTGTCCGTGGTGCTGAAGACATAAGGTTACAGCCCAGACCCCAGACTCAGGCAAAGAGGCCCTCATTCTTCATCAATATAGAGATGAGGTCTGAAGGGACCTTATGAGAAGTTCACCTCCTTTAGGACCACCCAGGGATACAGGAGGGGCTGCACTGACCCTGACCCATAGCTCCTAGTACGCTTTCCTTCACTCCCACTCCCACTCCCCCTTTGAGGCCCACTTCACCATGTGGGCTGAGCCCCACCCCGACTGCTGGCATTTACGGCTGCTGCCTGCATATGGTCCATGTCTTCCATTGACTTTTGAGAAATGATACTTGTGGGAAATATGATCTCCTTATAAACAGTGGCTATTCAACTGCCCTGATATTTAACAAATGTCTCTGTCAGTCATTTAGATGACCTGGTTAGAGAGGGAGTGCTCAGTTACCTTTATTGGTACATATCCATGGCTCATGTCACTTGGATGGCATGGGTTCAGGACAGGGGCTGCTGTTTTGAGAAGCTGAAAGTAGAAGGTACATAGTGAGAGTACAGTGAGAGCGGCATCTGCAGCTTCCTTCCATGAGGGGTTCTCAGAGTGAGTTTCCACACCTCCAGAGTGCTGGCACCAGAAGAGAGCTCCCAGGTCACCTCAGCCATGGAGTCCAGGGACTGACCAACCCATCCTCCTCTCCTCCTTCATCTCATTATAAAGCTGGGAACACTGAGATTCAGAGTGACAAGAAATGTACCTAAATTTGCCAACTGAGTAAATGCCAAAGCCAGGATTCAGACTGGCTCTATTTGATTAGAACAGAGCTAGACTCCCGTCTTCTCCTTCCTTTCAGTTCCGTGGAGGCCCCTGACTGAGTTTGTCCTGTCAGCCTGGCCCATGAAAATCCCTACCCAATCCTCTACATTCTCTTTTCCCAATTTTCCAGCTGAGTGTCCTTGTGACCTTGGAAACCACAAGTGGAAAATGGTGGGTCCTCCATCAACTGGACCCTTGAATGGCTAAGCAAAGCGACGCAAAGCCCCTGGCTGCCACCAACTACTTTTACATAAGCAAGGACTGAACACCACTTGCTCTAAAACACTGTGACATTGGGCTTTAATCTGATTCTCTATGGCAGTTCCTCGAGTGGTCACCCAGGCTCATGCTGAATACCGCCAGGAACACCAAGTCCGCAGAGCAGCCAGCAGTGCTGTCATGGTATGGCTCTGTTGAAGGGTTTCTCCTCCAACTCGGCCAAAACCTAACTCTCTGTGCCTTCAAAAGTCTGCTAGAGGTGCCATAACTTTGTGCCATAAACTGGTGACTAAATCAACAGAAACCCATTTTCTTACTCTTCTGGAAGCTAGAAATCCTAGACCAAGATGTTGGCAGAGTTGGTTCCTGCTGAGGCCTCTCTTCTTGGCTTGTACATGGCCACCTTCTTGCTGTGTCCTCACATGGCCTTCCCTCTGTGTGTGTGTGTGTCCTAATTTCCTCTTCTTATAAGGACAAGAGTCCTATTGGATTAGGGACCACCCTAATGACCTCATCTTACCTCAATTACCTCTCAATTCAGCTGATAGTCTTCTGCCCTCTGGAGTCCCAGGGGTTCATATAACCCATCTTTTTACAACATTTAGGTAAATGGGAAAATTCCTGAACAAAGTATCCTTAAGGGGCTTCTATAACTTACTGGGGTCATTTTCCTGGAGACAGAGATGACAAAGAACAGTATGCTGAGCACATGCAAGTGAACAGATTCATGAGGAGCAACATGTTAGTGACTTCTGCTGCTCAATTCCTCACCTTTAGTTCCAAAGGTGCAAACTGAGGAAGATGGAGCTCTCCATAACCATCCTGTATTCTGACCTCTAAAACGGGAGAAATAAACTAAAATCCACCTCCCTTTTAAACATGGGAGCGTCTGCATAGGTGTCCTCAGAGGGGAAACAGAGGGTGACCCCTCTACCTCAGTGGACTCTGGAGAGGACCTGGCATATGGCAGTAGGGAAGGGGGATGGGCAGCTTGGTGCCCTCTGATAGCAAGGGACACTGGGGCCAGTGTCCCTTGGGGCCCTTCTTCTAATGTGTCCCAGCTTCCTAGGTCACACACCAGGGATGTCCCACTTCTTCCAGGGGTGGAAAGGGTAGGTGTTTCCTACTCTAAAGTTTCTCCCATGTGTTTGTACAATTTCCAAAGCCTGCTCACAATTGAGTCCCACAGTCTTCCTGAGAGATAAGAGGCATGTCTCCTCTGTTCAAAAAGGATTGATTTCCATTTTTTCCTTATATCTTCTCCATCATCCAAGGAGAAAATAGGTGAGACATGGCTTACTTTCCCAATGTTACAAGACAAGAATCTGTGGCTCAGATGTGATGAGGGGACAAACCTAGTAAATGGGACAAACAGGTGGATGCTCCAGTTCCAGGTCTGGGTACTTTCTTCTCTGCTGAGTGAGACTTTCAGGCTTGTAGAAGGACAATAAGCTTGGGCAAGATGCTTTAAGGTTATGAAGTCATTAGATATATATTTTTATTTATTTGATAAGACAAAAAGTCAATCATTCTGAGCTAAATTGTGCCTCCTGTTGAAATCCTAACCCCCAGGATTTGACTATCTTTGGAGATAAGATATTTAAAGAGATGATGAGATCACCGGGGTGGACCCATTGGAGTCAGAATCCAATTTGACTGGTGTCCTTAAAGTAGAGGAGATTAGGACACACACAGAGGAAGACCATGTGAAGACACAGGGAGAGAGTAGCCACCTATAAGCCCAGGAGATGTGTCAGAAGAAACCAACCATGCCAACACTTAAATCTTGGACTTCTTGCCTCCTAGTGAGGATGTTGTCTCAGACACCCAGTCTGTGCTACTTTATGGCAGCCCTAGGAAACCATACAGTTCCCTTTGACAAAATGGTTGTGACACCTTTGAAGTCCATCTACCTCAATCAAGTATATGGGCTCCCTCCCCCCTTCTCTCCCATTACACTGACAACCCCCCTAGAAAAACACAGCATTACACAAAAGGTTTGAGTAACTGTCATTCCTGGACTCAGTGGGATGGGTGATCTTAGGTAAACCCAAAAGAAAAAAGGTATCTCAGCTTTGACTGAGCAGGCTAATTCCCAGGCAGCCCCCAGGGGAATCATTACGGACATCCCATCCTCAATGTGAGGGGCAGGTTTTACACCAAAGCCTTCCTTCAGACTGGCACAGGGTGCAAACCAGGAGGAACCAAACAACTACACCCAAGTGCCAGTGGCATGACCTGGCACACAAGGTAAGGACTGGGCTCCCTACCTCCACTGCGGCAGACCTAGCAGCTCCATTCTCAATATTCACTCTAAAAAGTAAATTTGGGTGGCTTTGAAAGCTCCACTCTTGTCTTGGTTCCCCTGACTCTGACTAGTACAGATCCTCGCTCTCAGAGAATCTTTTCTCTGTTCATTGACCACAGAGAAAGCAACAAGATGTTCTGCGAGGACACTAGGATGACTGCACAATGGGTAATAAACTACTACCCCAGAGGTCTGCCCTGGGAACCACGCCAGGAGCAATGAACTGCCTGAACACTGGGCTCTCGTCTTCCTTGTTTTGTCTTATGTACCTAAAAACAAATAAGGAACAGGAGATCTGACTCAGCACAGATGTGCAGTTACCTGCATCCTGGTGACTTTCTCCAGCTCTTGCAGGGCCTTGTCGCTGTCACGGACAAGGATGGTGACCATTCCTAAGTCTCGGGCTGGCTTCAGATTAGCTCCAATATCATCCAAGAAAACAATCTGAATCCAAAGAGCATGGACACTAGCATCACTTCAACCAAAGCAAACCTCATGCACAAAGGACAACACCAAAAGAAACACATTAAATTGTGAATAGTGGCTGATTTGTGATAATGAGATTGATTTTTCACTCCATGTAATTGTTTACTCTTAAAATTAAAAACATTTAATTACATAAGAATCACATAAACACCCAGATATATGTGTTCCCCCAGACACCTACTGGTTCAGCCTGAATCCTGAAACTGAGAGAAGATTAATGATCATAATGACATTAAAATTCATCTAGAAAAATCAGCACATATGAATTGACAAAAAATATGTCTGGAAAAGAACTATAATAAAGGCAGATAAGAAAACACATAAAGCTATGAAAGGAAAAAAAAAAAAAAGTTTGGTACTAAAAATGAAATAGACAAAAAAGACATATCAATGAGGTAGAAGAGTGTTGAGGAACAGACCCAAACACAAATTAGTTTAGTTTCTACTAAAAGTGCCATGTCTTGCCCTGGCCAGTTTGGCTTGGTGGTTAGAGCTTCAGACTGAGGACAGAAGGGTCCCAGTTTGATTCCAACCAAGGGGCACATACCTCAGTTGCAGGCTCAATCGGCAGCCCTGATCGGGAGGTGTGCGGGAGGGAACCAATCTAAGTGTCTCTCTCGCATCAATGTTTCTTTCTCTCTCTCTCTCTCTCTCTCTCTCTCTTCCACTCTCTCTGAAAAGCAATGGAAAAAGTATCCTCGAGTGAGGATTAAAAATAATAATAATAAATAAATATAAGTGCCATGTCTAATCAATGAGAAAAAAGGATTATTTAATTATTTTAACAACTTGAGGGGAAAAATGGATCCTTCATATCTTACTTCAAAATAAATTTTGAACAGCTCAAAGGTTTAAATTTAAGTAAAAATAAAGGGATAAAAGGTCCCTAGAGTTGTAGAAGCATGGGTGCATTTATTTACAATCTTGGATTAGTGCAGGCCTAAACTTCTAAGCAGCTCACTCAACCCAAAAGCCCTAAATGAAAGAACATTTCTTTATGGGCATACTAAAATTTAGAGAACTATTATAATGCTTAACCCAGGGGCTGCGGAGAGCAGAAGCAAAATTTTAGAGGAGAAAGGAAGGGTCCTGGTATTATTGAGCCTAGTAAGGATTCCCAATGATGGAGCTCAGGGTTTCATTGGATCAGGTATGGGTGAGGTAGGGCCAATAAGAAAGGGTCAGAAACATCAGGGAAAGGAATTTAATCTTGGTCCAATCACCTTTTTGAAGATTAGAGTAGGGGAACACAATGAAAAAAGTGTCTTAGAATAGGTCATTTAGAGATAGTATGAAGACACAATTTAGGGGTCCAGGGGTGCTTGAAAGACTACTGCAATACTGGAGCCCATTCCTGTTCATCCTTTGGCGGGATGACTCTGACTAGCCTTGTGGTCTTGGGAATATCTCTCAGGGTTGACGTGTTTTTACAGGTAAACTGAGGCAGCTGGTCTAGAAGTTTTCAATAAAACTTATTTTGATCAAGGTCCTATAAGAGCCACAGGAAGGACTCAGATGTCCACCTCTATATCTTTCTAGAAGGGATGGGTAAAAGTCCTTTAGAAGCTCTGGCCTGAGAGAAGTAGGACATGCCACTGGACCTAGAACCATCCTGCTAGGCCCCAGATATCCCCCACCTGCTCACTCTTCAATTTTTCTTGATGGCAATATCTCTAGAACACTATTCTCCACTGAAAGGAAGCATCTACTACATACCTCATTGGGGCTGGCCTTCAAGGTTTCCAGCACAAACTTGTAGATCTGAGGATCAGGCTTGGCCATTCCGATCTGACATGACTCTATCAGGAAGTCAAAGTGCGGTCTCAGCTCATACATCAGCTGGGCAATGCTGCTTCTCTGGGTGCTGTCATCCAGCCAGTTGTTGGTGAGGATGCAGGTTATAAAGCCTGAGTGAGAAGTCACCAGTGAATGGACCAGCTATTGAACTTTGCTCTGAGAAGCTCCAGGTGGGACCAAGTGGGGTTCTGCTCGCTCACCTCAATCTCCTGACTCTGGAAAAGAATCAGCTGTACCCTTAAGCACTTCCTGACACACAAGCATGAGAACAAGCCCGCTGTGTGCATTAAGGGCTCTCAGTAGCCCAGACGGAGATGCTGCATCCCTTAATTCCTCGCAATTGCAGAGCAAGAGGTTATGACATTTGTCAGCTCATTTGATCCTCGCCACATTTGGGCTGGGCTGGGCAGGTCAAATCTTACCATCCCACTTTTACCAATGAGCAAACCAGAGGCTCAGACAAATGATGAGCTGCCCAACTCACACAGTGAAGGAAGAGCCACGCTGGGCCCAGAATCCTGCCTTTGGACTGCCACTCCAATACACCTTTCAGTCTATGCTATTGCAAACTCTGCTCGACTGTATTTCAAAACACCTGCTTTGGCTTTCAGAGACTGCATTCCCATTTCAACACTAGAGAAATGTAAATAGAGAGAGCAGTGCCCCCTGGCTTTCTCTGCCTAACCAGAGAGGGCAAGAACCCAGAGACAGTGGAAACAAGACACAGCTGAGTCGATGATGTCACACTTCCCATGTAATATGAGTGAGAAATACGGATGTGGAATGGCTTAGCCACAGTCAGGCAAGTCTACTGATAAGTGGGTGCAATGATTTCAAATATGTTTGTGAAGAGGAGCCAGGCTCTGACACTAAATAAATGGCTACTGAATAAACATGATCTCATGTCACAGACCATTTGACACTATTTGAATCCAGATCAGCCAACTCATAGCTCATCACTACGACAACCAGAGGTTGAAAAAAATCATAGTTGTTTAAAAGGCCTTATTTTTAAATCACTGGGTCATTCGGGTCATTATTAGTGTCACCAGAGGGAGATAATTTTGCTCACAAGGCAGCCTATGGCATAAATCATTTTATTAAATAAAATTCTTTCATTTTCCATTCTGATAGTGCTGCTTTTTGCCATTTGGTATAACTTACTTTGGGACTATGTTCTAAGAACAGCTTTCCATCAAGGCCCAGAAGATGTGTGACCTCAAAACACATTTAGATATATTCTGACCTAATCCTGCCAGGGATCCTGGTGTGGTTGGGTCAGAAAATGGCCAGTATTGGGTCCTTACCCTTCTTTCTAAGAGCGAGAGCTGCCTGAAGCATGGGGTGGTTGATCTTCCTCGCTGAAATCACCTTGCCAAAGATTTGATTTACAGAGAAATTCTCAGGGAGGCAGATTCCAGAGTCTTCAGCATGTTTCCTATAGTCTTCTTCCACGAGTGACACCCACTGTAAAAGTAAGTTGTTGAGAAACTGTCAATTGGTACAACCACTTGGAAAGCTTTGGGCAGCATTTACTAAATCTGAACATGCTTTCCCTGTGATTCAGCAACTTCACTCCTGGACACATACCCAATGGAAATGTCTACATATTGTTCACTAAAATATGTATAAAAATGTTCATAGCAGCATTATTCTTAAGAGCCCCACTGTAGAAAATACTCAAATGCCCCTCTTATGAGCTGAATTATGCCTCCCGCTCTCAAATTCTTATTGAAGTCATAATCCCCAGGATTTCAGAATGTGACTGTCCTTGGAGATAGGGTCTTTAAAGAGGTGATTAGGGTAAAATGAGGTCATGGTTTGGCCCTGATCCAATCTGACTGGTGTCCTTAGAAAAACAGATTAGTCCAGCCGGTATGGCTCAGTGGTTGAGCACTGACCCATGCACCGAGAAGTCACTGGTTTGATTCCTCGTCAGGGCACATGCCCAGGTTTCAGGCTCGGTCTCCAGTGGGGGGGGGTGTGCAGGAGGCAGCCAATCAATGTTGATGTTTCTCTCTCATTGATGTTTCTCTCTCTCTCTTCCTCTCCCTTCCTGTCTCTAAAAGTCAATTTAAAAAAAGAGAGAATAATATTGATGGCTTGTAAGAATTCAAAACATTAAAACAAACAAGCAGGAGATTAGAAAACAGATACACACAGAGGAAGGACTTGAGGACATGGAGAGAAGATGGCCATCTATATGCCAAGGAGAAAGGCCTCAGAAGAAACCAACCCTGTGGATACCTCGATCTTGGGCTACTAGCCTCCAGAGCTATACTATACATAGTTTTCAAACCCTTTCCTCCCATTCTTTCTTGAATATACTCTAATCAAGCGTTCACCTCCACGTGGNTCCAGAGCTATACTATACATAGTTTTCAAACCCTTTCCTCCCATTCTTTCTTGAATATACTCTAATCAAGCGTTCACCTCCACATTCCAGAAACTTCTCTAGTCAAGGTTACCAATGACCTCCTCATTATGTTGCTATATCTAACAGGCACTCACCAGTCTTTAATTTACTTGGCCTATCAGCTGCATTTGAAACAGCTGATCACACTCTTCATCTAAAACTTGGTAACCTTCCCTGGTCAGGTGGCTCAGTTGGTTAGAGCATTGTCCTGATATGCCAAGGTTAGGGGTTCAATTCCTGGGCAGGGCACATACAAGATCAACCAATAAGTGGAACAAAAAAATCAATATTTCTCTCTCGCACTCTCCCTCCCTTCCTCTCTCTCTAAAAATCAATAAATAAAAATAAAATAAATAACTAAATAAAACTTGATAACCTCTTGGCTTTTAGGACACCCCACTCTCTTGATTTTCCTCTTACAATGGACATGCATTCTCCATCTCTGATTGCTGGGTCCTCCTCACCAACCTGACCTTTAACATCAGAGGACCCAGGACTTTTCTTCTCCATTTATATTCTCTTTCTCCATGACCATATTGAGTCCAATGGTGTTAAATATACCATCTACCAGCTGTAAATATATATATTTATTCAACCAGGACCTCTCCCTTCAACTCTGGGTTTGTACTTTCAGCTGCCTATTCCATACTCTATTTGGATATCAATAAACACTTCAAATTAAAATATCCCAAGTTGAATACCTGGTTTCCCAACCCCCACAGCCGTCAAACCTCTTCCATTTAAGAGCAACAGATACTTCCAGTTTGCTTTGGCCAGAAACTGGAGTCATCCTTACCTTCTCTCTCTTGCTTCTCATTCAATCCATCAGAAAAACCTGTTGGATCTACCATCAAAATATTCCCAGAATTTAACCACTTTTTGCCACTTCTACCAATATTACCTTAGTTTAAGCTGCCATGATCTCTCTCCTGGATTTTCCAGTATCTTCCTTAAGTAGTCTCTGTACAATAATCCTTGCCTTCCTGGTCTATTCACAGAGCAACCAGAGTGAGGTTTTAAAAATATAAGTCAGCTAACATCGCTCTGCTGCTCAAATTCTCCCAATGCCTTTCCATCTCACTCGGGGGTGGGGGAGGGAAGCATCAGGATGGACAAAGAGATTGAAGTATATTCATACAATGGAATATCATAAAGCAAAGAGAATAAAACTATCTACAACTTCATGTAATGATATCTATGATTCTCATAAATATGTTGAGGAAAAAGAGCAGATACAAAGGAGTGTGTCTGCATATTCCATTTACATGAAGTACAAAATAGGCAGAAGTGACCTGTAAGGTCAGAGTCAGGGTAGTAGTTACTCTTGGAGGGCTAACATGCAGAAGGGACCTAAGTGGGGTGACTATGGTGCTGATAATGTTTTATTTCTTCTTTTTAAAAAATATATCTTTATTGATTTCAGAGAGAGGAAGGGAGAAGGAGAGAGAGATAGAAACATCAATGATGAGAGAGTTGTCACTGATCGGCTGCCTCCCACATGCCCCCAACTGGGGATGGAGCCTGTAACCGGGCATGTGCCCTGACCGGGAATTGAACCGTGATCTCCTGGATCCTAAGTTGATGCTCAACCGCTGAGCCACACTCGGCTGGGCGATAATGTTTTATTTCTTGATGAGGGTGCTGGTGACATGGGTGTATTCAGTTTATGAAAATTCATCAAGCTATATATTTTCTGTACTTTTTATTTGTACAATGTGTATAAAAGTTAAAAGATGATTCATTCCTAAGGTACGACTTTTTAAAAGGCAAATGGAACCTAAGTAGCCTTTGTCTCAGTACAAGAGGTTTTCTAGTTCTCTCCCTCTAACCTGTTCAAGCTTCACAGAAACTGTACACCGGCTAAAGAAGAATGGGTATAGGATTCTCATTACAATTCCTAGAAATTCTTTCTATATTTCCTATGTTTATTGAAAATACATAGTTTTTCTTTCTTTCCTTACCTTCCAACAATATTACTGCAGCTTTATCATTCAAACTTAGTAACATTTATTCCCAATATCATTCCAGTTTTCATTCACTAGTTGCCACAATGTGTGTGTGCATGTGTGTGTGTGTGTATGTGTGAGAGAGAGAGAAAGAGAGAGAGAGTTTTAAAGTGACTGTAATATATTATATTCCCCACACTAAGACCACACTTGCCTTTGCAGAAAAGGTGGGCTCTTGCTTCCTATTATAGTAGGCCTCAAGTTCTCTGGCTGACCTATGGATGGCTGTAATTCATAAAAGAATTTTTAAATATAGATGGTTTTAATTGTGTACTTCTAGAGTAGATTCCCAATAGCCTTTCTTCTTTGAGGCACTAATAGAGAATTCAAATGGTTTTCAATCCTGATTACATTAAAAAATAATTCAGGCTGCAATAATAATAATAACTATTATTTTTGAGCACTTACCATATGCCAGGCACTGTGCTAAGCATTTTTCAAGCTTTTTTTTGAAGTGGAGTCATGGATTTTATTTATTTATTTATTTTAATATGTTTTAACTGATTTTAGAGAGGGGGAAGGGAGAGGGAGAGAGAGATAGAAACATCAATAATGAGAGGGAGTCATTGATCAGCTACCCCCTACTAGGGATCTAGCCCATAGCCCAGGCATGTGCCCTGACCAGGAATTGAACCAGGGACCTCTTGGTGCATGGGACAATGCTCAATCCACTGAACTACACTGGCTGGGCACTTTTCAAGCTTTTTAACAACCTATGAAATGGATAGTATTATCACTCTCATTTTATAGATGGCAAAACAGACTTTGAGAGGTTAAGCAAGTTGCTAAGGTTATACAGACTGTAAGTGGGAACTACGGTTCAAATCCAGATGTCTGACCCCAAAGTCCAAGCATAATATAGTTATTAACACCCCTCCCCAGTGGCCCTGTCTGAAAATAGCTACTCCAATGATGACTACTATAAAAAATAAACTGAAAATAACATGAGTTGGCAAAGATGTGAAAAAACTGGAACCTTTGTGTACTGTTGGGGGGGTATGTAAAATGGTGCAGCAGCTATGGAAAACAGTATGGTGGCTCCTCAAAAAATTAAAAATAGAATTATCATATGATCCAGCAGTTTCATTTCTGTGTATATACCCAGAAGAATTGAAAGTAAGGTCTCAAACAGATATTTGTATGCCCATGTTTATAGTAGCATTATTCACAATACCCAAAAGGTGGAGGCTACCCAAGTGTCCATCAACAGATGAGTGGGTAAACCAAATGTGCTATATACATTAAAAGACAAATGGACCCCAAGTAGCCCTTATTATAGTATAATTTCCTTCCTACAAGGAAAGACATCCTGTCACATGCTACAACTTGGATGAACCCTGAAGACATTTTGCTGAATGAATAAGCCAGTTACACAAAGACAAATATTGCATGATCCCACTTGCTTAAAGCATAGCTAAATGCGTAGAGACAGAAAGTTCAATAGTGATTATGGGATGAGGGGAGGTGAACAGTAAGTTATTGTTTAATGGGTATAGAATTTTGTTGTTTTTCAGAGAGTGGGAGAGGGAGAGAGAAAAACATTGATTGGTTGCCTCCCACATGCGCCCCAACTGGGGCCAAGCCCACAACCGAGGTACATGCCCTTGGCCGGAATCAAACCCGGAACCCTTCAGTTCGCAGGCTGATGCTCTAACCACTGAGCAAAACCGGCTAGGGTTAATGGGTTAAAATTTCAGTTTTGCAAGATAAAAAGAGTTCTGGAGATGGATGGTGAACAGTGTGAATATACTTAACACCAATGAATTATATATACCAACTTAAAAATAATCAAGTTGGTTAAATTTTATGGTATGTGTATTTGACCACAATTGGGGAGAAAAAAAAAAAAGTTACTCTGGCTATTGTAACTCCCTGGCATAGATCTTCAAAAGTTTGGAAATTTCTTAGTTACTGGCATATGTCCCTCTGCTTGGCCCAAAAAGACAACAAACCAGTCTAAAATGTCCATTTGTGTGTCTCTGGGCCTCCAGCCCATCCTGAGAGTTAAATGCCATAAGGGTACATGGGTAAAGCAGACATGGCTCTGCCCTCACTGGGCTATGGTGAGTGTGGGAGATGGGCATAGAGGCATAGAATGCCTTCTCAAAGGAGTCTAGCAGGCGTCCCCTTACCTGGGAAAATGTGATCTCTCCCTTTGTGAGACGGACGCTGGGACTATCCGGATCTCCTTCCTTGAAAGCTTCACTGAGAAAGCCTCTGGAAGACACAATGCCATGAGTGTTCCAATGACTTCATCACAGTGGCATATGGGAACAGACCCTATTTATGCCTGTGGTAGGCAGTTACACAGACAGGAGCAGAGCAAGGGCCTGGTGCTGAAACACACCTGAGGCCTAGATGTATTTAATGCAGGTCAGAACCTCATGGTCCTGGGGACTTAATGCTTACCGTCTGTTCTCTGGCCCCCTTGTTCGTTCTCCCTCTAGTGGGGTCAAACCTGAATGACTAGCAACATGCCAGGAGAGGAGAGGCCAGGGGAAGATTGAAACCACCTGACCAGCAATATGCAAGGCTAGGGAGTCTAACCTGCATGACCAGTGATATGCTAGGGGAGGAAAGGTTACCCTTGGCGTGAGGTCCTTAGTGTCCCGGTTTTGTCTGTTGCTAGACACCCGGGGCTTTCCATCCTGGTGACCTTCTGTACCTGGCCCATTGCCCTTGCTCTGTTCATGTTGTTATACCCAGTTTTCACGAGATTAATTCACAGAGACCAGATTGAGCATTTGGAATTTTATTAAGCCAGTGGATACAAGGGGCTCATGCCCTAAACAGACTCACAGCCCCAAACAATCTTCACAGGGAGAATTTAAAGGCAAAATTGCATCCTGGTTGGCATGGAGAGGGGTGGGAACCTAGCAAAGCAATGTACAGAAGCCAAAACAAGCGTTGTTTAACCGTTACAGTTGGCTACTTCCTGGCACTAGCCTGTAACTGTGTGTTCCTAGATTGTAACTGTTCAGGGCTATAGAACAGGGTTGACAGATTACAAATGAAGATTACATGCTTCATGATTGAAAAATGAGGGTTACATGCTTCGATGTCTGTCTAATATCCTACCACAATGCAGATATAATGAACAGCATGGTTAAAAGTTGCCAAGAAAGTATACCTTAAAAAGTCCTCATCACAAGAAAATAATTATAAATAAAATACTGATTTAAGTTTTCAATAATATTGGAAATTCAGCAATCATGTTTTGTTGTAAAACATACATAAAACTGACCATTTTAAGCACTTTTAAGTGTACAGCTCAGGTTGCATTGCTGTGCAACCTTCACCACCATCCATCTCCAGAACTTGTTCCTCTTCACATCTTTGCCAACCTAAAACTCTGTACACATGAAACCCTAGCTCCCCATTCCCCCTGCAGATTATATTGCATACATTTTGCAACCTCCTTAATCTCCCACAAATCATTAACTCTACATGAAATTTCATCTTACACTGTTAACTACAATAATCTCTGTTAGTGATTTTTACACAACTGAACTATTGAAACTTACCATTACATCTAAAATTCATTAACTGTAAACTTGACAGGCTCAGGGAGGCCTGCATGGCTGACTTACAAACTCAGAGACCTAAAGTAACCACATAGAATTGTTAAGTTTGGACAAAAAGCTTAATATCCCTGAGGGCTCCTCCCCTCCCCAAGCATGAGAATGTAAACTTTAGATAAACTCATTTCACTAGCCTCATTCCGTACGTTATGCTTGACAGCTTTCACTCCCTGCATAAGAAGGTACCTCAAGCAACAAAATCTGTTCCTCACATTCAATAGCTTTCTTCTACTCCAGCTCAACAAAAAAAGCAAAGGTCGAAAAGCTCCCTCCCTATACCCTATAAAGAGACTTCCTGCCAACCACTCTGGCCTAAGGCCACTTGGAGCTCAGCCCATCTGTATTCAGATGCTGTAACCATCTGTATTCAAATGCCCGAATAAAATTGCCTTTACCTTCTCATCTGGCCTCATGTGTTCCTCCTTGGCAAGCCTAAGGATGGTCTGAAATTAAAATTTTTAACTAAAAGCAGTTCTCATGGCAGGTAGTCAGGTCCTGGGCTAGGATCTTCCTGACAAAAGTCAATCTTTACCTTAACTGAGCCTGTCTTTTTGCATCTCCAGATACCATACCTTTGGAATGTCAGGTTAACTTCCCTTTTTTCTGGCCCCTCCTGAAAAACTATAAATCCTCATGTTATTGTTATCATGCTAATTGTGGACTTACCTATCCTGTACCCACCAATGTAAAAGAGGTATATGTCTATCATTTTACTTTTTTATCTAATCCCAGAGGCTTCCTGGCTTTGCTTTCCTCCCACCTCCCTAACCAATCACCAATGGACTTCTTGTAACCACTTATGTCTCCTCTTTTGGTTGTAATATATAAAATAAGGTGCAAAACTGCCATTCTCTGGAGCATTTTCTCAATCCATTGAGATTTTGCTTCCTGGCAATTGCCGTCAGTTCGGCTCAAATAAACTCACAAAAATTCTTACAGGTGTGAATGTTTCTTACATTGATATCTGCTTGGCGTAGTGCAGCAGGATTCCAAAGAGGCCCATCCAGGACCCCCCCGCAGATCAGGACCCAGTGCTAGGATCCATCAAGGGGCCCATTGTGCCCCCCACCAGTTCCTTGTTTTAAGGTAAGAGGCCCTGATTTTATTTTTAGTTTTTTTTTGTTTTTGTTTTTGTTTTAAATCCTCGAAGTGGAACGAAAGCTAAGGTTTGACAGAACCCAGGCTAAGGTGGGACTGGAGGAAAAAATGGGTGGCTGGTGTTTAACTTTGGATTTTCAATCAGAATTGCTTTCTGACAGTCTGAAGTGCAGACTCTACAGATCCCAAAACAAAACTAAAATTAATAAGGGAAATTGTGCCACTAAGGCTGGAAACTCCCTAACTCCAGCCCTCATTAATACTCCTGGAGAAGTAGGAAGCTTTTACTTGCAAGTACTTTACAGAAATGGGAAGATTTAACTAGAAATTATATCAACTCAAAATGGCCAAAAGGCAGCTTTTTAGAGTATCTACATTAATTTTTTTTGCTTGCAAAATTAGAAAAATGCCGGCTCTGAAATTAAACTGAATGAATGGGAAGCATATCTTGATTAGGAAATTAGAAGCTTCTAGGAGGAGCACAGATAAACTTTTTTTTTAAAAAGAAAGAAAATAAATCGATAAGAAATTTTAGAAATTGTCTCTGAACTAAAGGCTTCTGAAGCCAATAAAAGCCTCTCCTTGCACAGCTCCTCCACTATATCTGCTCTCTGAGATTCCTTTTCCAGACTTGCCTTCCCCGCCTCCTTCCTTCCCCTTCGATCTCTATATCTCCTCCACTACCACTCCCTGCTGACCTAGGGGGGACTAAGAATAGGAATTCAGACAAGGACAATCAGGGAATTCTAGCAGCTCCTTTGAAGAAAAGCTGGTTTCAGGCAGAGAGGAGCCAGCAATTGTTCCCTGATTTTCTGCAGGAACCCGATGGGTTCACAAAGACATTTAATGAAGCTGTTAGAACATGTAATCCTGGCTATTCTAACCTATTCCAATTAATACACCTGGTTTCTGGGAGCAAAAGGAACAGAATTACTAAATAAGTTTCACAGGAACACTCCTGTTGAGAAGTCTGTCCACCTTAAGGGTTATAGGAAACTGAAATGGGATTTAGAAAAAAACACACAGAAGCAATCACAGGGCTGCTCTGAAGACTAGGAGAAGGCATTTCCTCTTCTCATTAACAGTTTAGGAGAGATTAAAATTACCATTAAAAAGGGGGGTTACTAAGGCCCTAGAAATACTGGGGCTACTTTATCTGTTCTTAACCACACCTAACTAAGCTGGAGTAAAGATTCTGTGCAAATGGTAGGGATATCTAATTATACCAATTGGGAAAATAATGATTTTAAAGAAACCTCCCCCCACAAGAGGAACTGAATGTTCATTACAGGACAGTTCCAATGCAACTTCAGGCCTTTTCCAGTCACCAGTATCCAAACAGCCAATATTTATACTGATAGTAGCTATGCCTTGGGTGTAGCTCACAACTTTAGAATGTTGTAGAAGCGGTAAGGCTTCTTTTTTTTTTTTTTTTTTTTAAATATATCTTTATTGATTTCAGAGAGAGGAAAGGAGAGGGAGAGAGGGAGATAGAAACATCAATGATCTGAGAGTCATTGATCGGTTGCAGCCCACAACCTGGGCATGTGCCCTGACGGGGAATTGAACCCCGATCGCCTGGATCCTAGGTTGGCGCTCAACTGCTGAGTCACGCCTGGCCGGGCAAGGCTGCTTCTTAATCTTCTCAGGGCATTCCATAAAGAATGGGAAATAGGCTGCAGAACTATTAGGTGTCACACAGATATTAAAACAATTTGCAATTATCGAAATTCCAGGACATTCTAAAGTTGCCACCATGAAAGCAAAAGAAAATTATTTAGCTGATGCTACAGCTACCATTCACAAGGGAAATGGACAGAGGTTCCATATATCCAAGTCTTTATGGCCCTCAAAGGCAACCCTAAGCTATGCGCTGTCTGTAAACTAGAAAGATGTACTCAGATGGAAAGAGACATTCCAAACGTGGGTGAATGGATTTGTCAGCTCATTGCCAACATCTGGGTGGCAATCCAATTGTTGAAGTAAAAAACAAAACACCCTTAGCCATATCTGAGCAAATCAATTTAACTTATTTCAACTATTCCTTTCTAAATTAGTAAATTTGATAAGTTGAGTATCTAGATACCTTGAAATAACATGAAATACTGAAACACTGATTGCTAGACAAGTCTTATTAAGTACATCTGCTTTTGGTTTTTATTGCAGAAAGGCTGAACAGTGGATTTGGAGCTGTTGATGAATGTCTTGTGCTTTGTTGGAGGTGTGTTTCTTGAAAGTGAGTGTGTTTGCCTACAGAGGAGCCTATGTTTCTATAAGGTTATGAAGTAGGTTCATAAAAGTCAATCTAGGAAATACTATCTGCTTACTTTTTGGTTGTCAATGGAAATTGAAGTTTCTAAGAGTTAAAAATTCAAATTAAGTTGGAAAGAAATTATATAGTTTTGGTAATAGAAGTTATAAAGTATGGAAATGCATTTTTAAGGGAAAAGGAAGAAAGTGAGTTGTTCTGATTATGTGTATGATCTTTACACACATATGTGTGGCATTTTCTGCCTCCAGATGGTATAACTAAGGTGTAATATTTTATTGCCTAAAGAGATTAAAATAGTTACATAAATTAAGCAGGATCCTGTGGTCTACACCACAGTGTATAAGTAGTCTTACATTCTGGTGCGTCTGCTCTTTTCACTTTTTATACCTAACACATATTTTCCAATGTCACTTCAATCTTATCCTGAAAGACACGTTTCGAGGCGATGCCTACTAGTTTACCATTTCCCAGTGATACGGCCTTGAAGCTGTTTCTCTATTTCGATATTATAAGTAAATCTGCAAGGCACAGAACTGTTTCCCTTGGAAATCTCAGAGCCGCCCAGAGATCCACCCGCCTCCCAGATTGGGGCGGGCGGGCGACTCCTCCCCCCTGAGGAAAGCTGTCCCCGGGAGGGCAATGCTGGGGTCCCCGGAGGGGCTCAATCGCTTGTCCACGTCCACACGCCGGCGTCCTAGGGCCGGAACGGTTTTAACCTTTCGCAGGGCTCTCAAAGGGCAGCGATCCGAAACCAGGCTGGGAAGTCCCGAAAGGCAACTTCGGGGCGGGAACCGCGCCCCTCACCGCCCCGACTCCCCCGCGCAGCCCGGGCGCGGGGTCCCCACCCCTACCTGGGCAATGCCAACTCCTCCTCGGTGCGGCCCAGGGCGCCGGCGATCGACGGCCGCGCCAGGACCCCGTCCAGGTCGAACACGACCGCACGCAGCGCCATGGCGGCCACAGCCTCAGCCTCCCGCCCGACCACTGCTCCCGGGCCCGGCGGCGAAGTTTGGACTCGGCTCGCGCTGCTGCCCGGGGTAACCC